TTTTATCATTAAATGAAGATACAGCCTAAAGATGGTTTGCGAGCTTTACGGCATAACCAGGTTTCATTCGCCCAGGCCTCTGGGCAGTTGCCCCCCCTGTCGGCAGGCCTGTACATAATCAATCATGAAGTATGGTTTTGTAGTATTCTACACAATATAAAGTACAATAAAGAAGAAAACTTATATATTGTGTTTTTGTTTTGTTCACTTAATAAAATGATTGGGTGCTTGTAAACATAAATGCTATATTAGTTTTATTGATTTCATTACATTTATTGAAAATTGATTAGTACATTTACTTTTGCAATTTATCACATGGTTAAAAGGCTGACATGAATAAATGAATAAAGAATATTGCTTTGTGTTGTTTACTCCATGATCAGAGAGTTGTGGTTTTGAGACAAGTCAGTGCCTCACAACTTTCAATGGAACACAATTTCAGAAAAAGAGGTGTGGTGTTCCAAAATAACACATACAAAATGTAGGAAAAATTTAATTTATAGTTTATTTAACCCTAAAGTACACAGTTAAACAAATTATAACATCTAAAAAAGCCCAAACATTTGATGTGGGTGCTGCCAGCCAGTTGCCTTCCCTCCAGTCAGCAGTTCAAAATTAGGGATAGCTTTAATAGTTCTGCATAACTCAACATTGTTTGTTTGGCTTCAATTTAGCACAAAGTTACACAAAGGCTATCTGTGCTAGCTGTCTCTAATTTAGCAGTGAAAGACTAGAGAGAAGGCAGCTAGTCATCACCACCCACTTCCAATTCTTGGGCTATTCCGTTACCAATGAATAGTGGGTTTGACTATCACATTATAATGCTCCCACAGCTGAAAGGGAGAGCATGTTTGATGGGATGGGAATTCGAACCTGCGAAACTCATATTTTGAGTCAAGTACCCTAACCACCTAGCCATGCTGGGCCAAATTCAACAAAGAAACAAATATATTAACCTGTGACTAAATGGGTATTTTGAACTTGAATTAATTGAAAAAATAATAATGAGAATTTGTGAAATCATAATGACAATAATTTGATTACTTAGACAGTTATAATAACTAAAAATAATCAGTTGATTCTTTTCACAAAATTAATTGATTTAATTATAATTTTGATTAACTGATTATTTCAGGTAACATTAATTGATGTAATAGATGCTCACAGTTAACCAATTATATTGATTAATCAAGTTAATTGCCTAACTAATGAATAATCACCAACAGAATTCAACTGAACTAAGACTTTCAGCTAAAATTCTTGCAGCCAGGATTAATATTTGTGCTGTCTCCACTGTTATATTAACACACACTCAGACCAAGCTAGGCTAAATACAATAATCCACAGCAAAATATATTTACTGTCCTTAAACAGTAACAATACTTAGTGTGAAGTCTTGAAAATGAACTGAGGAAAATCAAGCAATTTCTTTGTAAAATGTTTTGGGAACCCTAAAAGTAATTAGTGAGATTAATAGCAATACTGATGATATTAGGGATCCTGTAACATAAAAAGTCATAGACTCACAAGCAATTTGCTGCAATTATTTTAGAGTAACATGCTTACACCAATGACTTGGGGTCCATAAGAGTTACAACTACAACATCCATGAACGATGTTACCACAGCTGACATCTTAAGTAATGATTGGAAGGGTATGTTAATTAAAATTCTATCACTGCTGCTGATTATAAGAGTCAACAATTTTTACACACAGTTTGTTATAGAATGTTTGATGTAAAAATGAGAATACGGAATCACAAAATATTCAGAGGTCTACCTGGGTTATTACACCTAAGAATAAGATTAATGTTAGAATGCTTACCATTTATCACATCCTGTCGCTTTTTTTCTTTGGGTTTTAAATTACGTATCACATTACTATTTACATTTTCTTGCCATTTTGGTGGCTCATTTTCAGCTTCCAGGTCTGAATCATCAAACTGAAGGAGGTGTGATAATGATGAAGAAGAAGAGGAGAAGGTGGACTGTAGCCTTCCAGTAGATAAGCTTGATCCTGATCCAGAATTCACTGGAGTACCTTCTGTAGTATTTTGCATCACCTCTAGTGAGTTGCTTGAACTGTCAAGGCTTCTTTGAAGAAAAAATGTCCAGCATTAATAAGAAAATGTACAAATTATGATATTCAAAACAAAAAATACCTTAACTCAGTGGTAACTGATTTTAAAACTGGAGGCTCAAGAATGAATTTTATCACTAATTTTTCTTCATATACAGTCATGATATATTTACCTTACAGACTCTCATCCTGGGGAACTTTTGTTAGTGAACTACAACTATGGTTTCATCTGGATATTTTGGTAAGGTGAACTGCTTGGCAATTTTTACAGATGTATTAATATGAACCACATTGTTAGATATATATGAATGTTTATGTTTAATGCAAGCATTATAATTTAGATGGTTAAATATAGTGTGAATGTTAAATTTAGTTATTTTTAGAAGCTATAGTTTCCTTGCATGTTTATTTATGTAAATGTTTTCTAATCATACATTGAGTAGTTCAACTGTTGTGAATTGGCAATTGTTGTATTATTGCACCATGTTATTAGTACCCTCTTAATATTTCATAGTGTGTGGAACATTCTAGGCATCTGTTGGTCTATAAATATATGTCCAAAATGTAGTTATATAGTTAGTTAGACAGAGCTGGACTGCATGACTGTGATTTTAGCCATAAGAGCATATTATGGCGAATTCTAAAGTGAATTATCAAAGATAATTTACATATATTGTAACTTGTAGTTTACAGAGTATAGATATTACGATCTCTAGTTTAATGAGTACCTATGGACCAACAGTGAATTATCAAAGATTGTATTGTAATAATAGAATAGACAAGAAATAATCTGTCTTGTCAATTGTGTTTTAAAGTAACTGAATCAACCTGTTTGGACTCTGACAAAAAGAAAATTATTTAAAGCTCTGGATACAACTGTGTTAATCAACAGTGTAAAGTAAGTGAAATTATCACCGATTGTATTGTAATAACAGAGCAGAGAAGAATAATTTATCTTATCATTTGTGTTCTAAAGTAACTGAACCAGTCTTTGTGAATTTTAACAAAAAAAGATGATTATTTAAAGCTCTGGATACAACTGTGGTAATTAACAGTGTAACAAATATTTGTATATATGCTTGACTTGTTTTAATATATTATTTTAAAACAAATGAACTGTGTGCTGGTTTTGTTTATTGTTGTAACATATCACCAACAGATCACAGACACCTACTGTAAAGAATCAGGCCCATTCATGCATAAGAACCCTGACATACATTATAGTCACTTTGATGGGCTATTTTAAAATTTCTTTGACCATTTGATGCCTGGATATGAAACACACTATAGCCAATCTGTCTGGCTATATTTCACAGATGTGTGGCTATTTTTCTTTAACATACAAGCTATAGAAAATATGAAGAATACTCAAACACTTAAAGAAAATCTTTTATTACCTAATAGCAACTTTCCATGAAATATCTATATTGAAAAACTTGACAATAAACTAAAATAATAGTTTTATATTTCTTCTCTATAAAAAGCCATATTACACCAACAGCCAGAGTTGTACATGAATACTTCAAACAGGTTATATTAAGATGGGTTTACTAAAGAAGAACACCAGTAATACTGCAGTACATTATATCAACAGAAAACATGATTCTTGGTTTATTTATTCCATAACATATGTTTATGAATGGTCCAAAGAGTTCATGTTAACATGGGTTTAGTAAAGAAGAACATCAGTGATAATGCAATACATTATTCAACAGTAAATAAAAGTCTATTTATTCCAAGTGCTTTGTTTGTTTTTTGAATTTCACGCAAAGCTACACGAGGGTTATCTGCTAGCCATCCCTAATTTAGCAGTGTAAGAACTAGAAGGAAGGCAGCTAGTCATCACCACCCACCACCAACTCTCGGGCTACTCTTTTACTAATGAATAGTGGGATTGACCGTCACATTATAACTCCCCTACAGCTGAAAGGGCAAGCATGTTCAGTGTGATGGGGATTCGAACCCGCGACCCTCAGATTGCGAGTCAAGCACCTTAACCACCTGGCCATGCCGGGCCTTCCAAGTGCTTATGAAGGGTCCAAACAGTTCATGTTAATATGGGTTTACATCAATGATACCACAATACATTATTCCAAAAGTAAACATGAATCTTGGTTTATTTATTCCATAACATGTGTTCATGAAGGGTCCAAATAGTTCATGTTAACACGGGTTAACTAAAGAAGAACACAAGTGATACTGCAATACATTATTCTACAGTAAACACGAGTCTGGGTTTATTTATTCAAATCTGTGATATTTTATAACTTTAGAAAATACAAAACTGTTTTATTGTGTAACAACTTGTTTAACTTGTATGCAAGTCAAAAGTATTTAGGTTACCACTAGAACTATTACAGACCAATAAGAGAGAAAAATACGGTAACATAAATTATATACTGGCTATTCTTAAATATTTTTGTGGAGTTTATGTTACTTCATTACTGAAGATGTATTCTTATTACAGATCCAATAACTACCACATTTTAAAACTAAAAATATCCTAAGTTATTTGCACTAAATTAATAATGCATTTGATGTTTAATTATATTTACATATATGTAGTCAAATCCAACAAAAACTATTTTGTTTAAATTTTTGGTATTATCACAAAGTTAAATAAAATATCATCTTAATTACTACAACAACTTTCTATTGAAGAGTTAGTAACAATTCCAATTCAGTGCTGCCATCTACCGGATAGTAATGCAATTAAAGCATTTCTTTATTAAAGGTGAAAAAAATATTACATATGTTTCAGACATACTAAACACCCAGGTTTATTGTAACTTATTTTATAGGTATAAAAAGTTGTATTTTATATATTTTCTCTTAGAATCACATCTGAGTTTACCTTGTGGATAAGCTAGAAACTGATGAACCTCCCGTCTTGTTCAAACTAGCGATGGTTTTGTCATCAACTTCTGCATCACTGGAAATATCAAATACATTCTTAGATAAAAATTTTGAAACACTGATAACGAAACAAAGCATTGAGTAAATTAAAATACAAAATTTTGACATACCTTTGTGATCTTGGAATATTTGAATCACTTCCTTTCCTTAAAGGTGTCTTGTATTCTCTCTGCAAATAAAACTGAAATAGTCAAGTATTGCCTTGCAAAACTGAACATTCTGGGTAAACAATTAACATACTCATTTCAGTATTTAAACTACCTGAGCTTATTGTCTATTGATATTATCTATGATTAATAATTTTCTGGAACAATAGATATTATAAACCTTTTGTTTTTATATACATCTTACATTTTTGTCCACCAAAGGAGATATAGTTGGATTAAAAACAGTTGCCCATCAACTCACATTGACTTAAACGCAAGTTACTAAACAATCAAGATAAACCATGACATACTACATACTGTCGTTGAACTTGACACAGATCAAGACAACAACTGCAACAGCTCCCGACACAAATCAAGATACAGGCTACAAATGCACCAGGCACAGATTTATACATAATCTACTACAACCGTCAGAAAGCATGTCAGAGGTGTCACAACAACTGTCAAGAACAAAGACAAAATACAACAGCCCCTGATACAAATCAAAACAAAAGCTGCAACAACAACTGTCATAGACCGAGACACTAGATGTAACAGTAAGTGACACAGATCAAGATACAAGCTGCAACAACTATAATGAGCCAAGACAAAAGATGCTACCGTGTACTTAACTTGATTTTTTAAAACTATTATTAAAAGTTTAAGACCGGTATTAGGTGGATATTTTAATAAGAAAAAAAAAAAACACGTGGCAATACAAGTTTTGCGTGTAAAATAAATATGGAGGTAAACTTATATAAAGCACTGATTTTTTGCTTACTCCGACAGGTTAACTTGGTTACGGAATTAAAATTAGGTCAACGCTCACGACGGTGTTTTAGTTATGTTTCTGTCTCAGAATGAGGCTGATTAGAACAAACTACCGGCAAAAAGTATTTTCATATGCATTGGTTAAAAACAATAAAAACCTGATTTATTAAGAGCATAACATTATCAAATTAATCATTTATTTGTACACTCTGGCCTAAATAATACTAGCAGTTTTCTCAACACCATTTTAAATTTGGATGGTGGGGGTATTAATGCGGTCCAAGGTCCAAAGCTTTCGGATTTTTCTAAAGTTAGAATCCAATAATATGTACCCTGACACTGGATTGTACTGTAATTCTACAGTACACACACACGATAAAATTGAAATACTGGTACAGTTAAGCGCCGATTATCCATACTAATAGGGACCAAAGGTGGTCAAGTTATCGATAATTGGACATATTAAAATTCGTCTTTTGAACACACACACACATACAAATTGTTATCTTAAATATATTCATTTTACAATACCATTAATACATACAGTTAATACTAATAAAAAATCATTTAAGGCATGAATAAGAAATGATTCTATTTATCTGTGTAACACGCACTCTTAAACAACTTGACTACATACCACTGCTGAGTACATATGTACATTACTGTAATTTATCTACGACAAAAAACCGTGTGAATTCTGGATTACCATCAAGTTTTTCGTTAAACTTACAGCCTTTTCACAAAGAACGGGACCTGAAATGGTAAAAACCACATTTAAACAGCATTGGTTACTTTCTCATTTGCTGGTATTTTCATTGCTTTCTGCTTTGAACTTCCATCCTCCTTCTCCAAAACAGAAACAAAATTATGAATTGTATCATTATTTCATTTTTAATGTCTGGTATTGTTGAAGTTCCAACACCATATTTCTCTGTTAGATTTTTACCAGATTCATCTATTGAACTTGTTCAAAATGTCCACTTCGTCACTCAATGAAAGAACCACTCTTTTGTGTTTGGTAAATATTTTTACTCCAGCAAAGAGCAACTTTGATTAAAAAATGAAATTAACACACGTTTTTAATTTTTAAGGAAACAAAGCACTCAACAAGGCTAATGTTGTAACTGACGGTTCTGCGGCGAGATGTACCCTTTGCCACGAAGTGATCCAAGCATGTTCGGACACGTTTCTTTATTCTTTTTTTTTATAAAAAAAATTAAATAAAATACATACATGTGTGTACATATTTTTAATTTTCACAATTTTATTCGGATAATCGGCATTCTACTATACTTTAATTTCACGGTATTCTACACTTCTAAAAAGAAGAAGCAACTGACTTCCTGCCCACCCTTATACAATTAATGTCTCTGTTAACATTAATTGCTTTACTAAAAACAGTGTTCAATTCAAGTTGCTAAACCAAGAATGGAGACTTTTTCAATAATTTTATGTCCTTTATTTAATGAAAAGCTCGTGTGCAACTTTTCGCCTTCACCCTATTAAGAATACAGAATTCTGAACAATGCCAAGTTCATACTGTACACGTTAATAACACGTTACATAAAAAATGAAATTCCAAACTTTCGTAGAATATTATAAACTTAAAGCTTTTCAAGGCCTTGAAACTGTACAAATAAATTTTATTATTCCACAAGATTTTTAAAGAGTTGCAAATGAACCCTGAAAAATCGTCAAGGACTACTACAATTATCGTCTACGTTTCTTTAGACTAATATAACCGTTAGTCAGAAAGTCAAATAAATTATGACAGTTAGTCCAATAAAATATGATAGTCATAAAAGTTGGGAGGCGGCTTGACTGGGTAATGAAAAAACTTTATTGTAAATGTACAACGTTTCGACAATATTATGTCATCCTCAGATAGTCTCAAAGTCAAAATGGCAGCCATCTCAAAGTCAAACAATCTATGGCAGACAAATCTCAAAGTCAAACAATCTATGGCAGACAAATCTCAAAGTCAAGCAATCTAAAGCAGACAATCTCAAAGTCAAATAATCTATGACAGACAATCTCAAAGTCAAATAATCTATGACAGACAATCTCAATATCAAAAATTCTGAGGCAGACAATCTCAATATCAAAAATTCTGAGGCAGACAATCTCAAAGTCAAATAAACTATGGAGGTCAGTTCCAAAGTCAAATAAACTATGGAAGTTAGTCTCAAATTCAAATAAAAATACTTAAAGATGTAACGGAAGTATTTTGAATATATCTTCAGCTAAAAATTATATCTTTATCTGGTAACTATACTTAAACGCATTTACTTTCTAGGTAAACCCCTATTTAGCATAGAGCCCCCAAAAATATGGTGGTGTTTATTTTTAAGTAGTCCTAACAGGTACATTACTACAGTGTAAATTTACACTGGCATGCTTCTTAAACTACTAACAGATTTCCATACAGAATTAAATAAACAAGTGATCATCAGGGAGCTTAATGTTATAGGTCACTTCCAGCTGTAACAATATGGTAGTGAACCTGCAGTCTTTCAGAAATCACGACGTCATTACTAAGGGTTCCGCTAAGCTGCATGTTATTTCACTTGGTTCCATTACATAGAAGCAAAAAAACAAACACAAAACATGAAGACCAGGGTTGTTATCTTGTCAAACAGCCTAGTAATTGTGAACCCAGTAATGCACAGCGTTTCTTCCACTTCTCATCCTAATATTATTAAATTCGTTTTTATTTGTTCATAAATACATGGTACTTGTTCCACTTCCCATCCTAATATTATTAAATTCGTTTTTATTTGTTGTTAATTACATGGTACTTGTTCCACTTCCCATCCTAATATTATTAAATTCGTTTTTATTTGTTCATAAATACATGGTACTTGTGCCACTTCCAATCCTAATATTATTAAATTCGTTTTTATTTGTTCATAAATACATGGTACTTGTGCCACTTCCAATCCTAATATTATTAAATTCGTTTTTATTTGTTCATAAATACATGGTACTTGTGACTCTTCCCATCCTAATATTATTAAATTCGTTTTTATTTGTTCATAAATACATGGTACTTGTTCCACTTCCCATCCTAATATTATTAAATTCGTTTTTATTTGTTCATAAATACATGGTACTTGTTCCACTT